CGGAAATAGGAGCGGGCGCAAACCCATGCAGCCCGTGGGTCGACAGAACCAGAAAGTGGCTGATCAGTGGACTGGGAGTCACATTACAATGGCCCCTTCTTAATGTGGCCTTTATGGCACTCCCATTGGTACATGACACACAAGCGGACTTTAGGTAAGTGGTGTTGTCTCAGGTCTTCCATCTTTACTGATCAACATCATTAGCTGAAAACCTATTCATGACAATTCGCGCAGACCACAAACGGGTACCTGGTGAAAAGTAGCCGCTGAGAGGTCCAGTTTAACTAGATGCGTCGGATCCTCCAGGTACCACTGGCCGTTCTTCAGTTGAGTCAGAGCACCTAATACAACCACATTGTCTTCCCTGGCTCCGAGAGCGAGTAAAAACTCTATTGGTTGGAGTTTAAAACCACTGGCGTTGGCCTTTGTCCCAGCAATGGAGTCCTTGGTGGATGCAGCAAAGACCGGGTTCCGAAGAACGCGCTGGTAAACCATCTAGATGACAGCGGAGGGCGGGGAGGGGAGAAACGGAGAGGTGGGAATTGAGTTCAGTTTTATTAAAGGGGAGGATAGGCAAAGGCTTTTATGTTCCTTATTGGTGGCACAGTGACCAAGAAATGCATCTGTACAGCAGAAAATTTCAAAAAAGCGGTCATTTGCACAATTGTAGGCGAAAAGTGGCATCAGCCGGTTATATGTAAACACAAATGGCTACTTACTTATCACGAGTAGTATAATTACATGTATAATTATTTCTCTGGAGTGGTACCTCAGGTCATTGGCAGTGCCAAATGACCCCATCCAGTGTGTGGAACAAAAGCAAAAAGAGCAGACAGTGGCAAAAAAACTCCCTGATCATTTTTTCGGGGAACTAATTGTCTACTTAAAAGCAAGGACGACCTCTGTGTCAAAAGTGTCACTGACCTCGTAACGGTGGGCATAGAGAAAGGCCTTCATCGCAGGAGAATTGGGCAGGAGAGATCTTGCATCCTCGGCAAAGTCTTGCAACGGCAAAAACCTCCTTGAATACTTGCAGTATTTAAAGCGGGGAACCTAAAGTGCATTAAACAGCATGATAGCCACTACTAATTTCAACAAATAAAGGATTGTGACCGGCCGCTAGTCGCTTCTATGATCAGTAGGCATCACCGGTAGTTGAAGTATCAGGAATATTGTTATCATTAGCAGCGGTGGAGGTAGCAGTGATAGTACAAGTAGTTAGAAGTTGTAGTTTTAGTGGTAGCTGGTGACAATAGTAGTAGTAGCAGTAGTAGA